ATCCGTACTCCTGCGTCGTTGCCCGAAAAGCACGTTCTGTCTAGTGCTAGTAGGTGACACTGTACCAAACATCCGTATTCCGCACTGTTGAAGACTAAATGCTGGTCTTCAAATAGTAACCGGTCCGTGAATGGATTGTCGATTGGCCTAGTGCAACTGATGATGCTTGGCGAGCTGAAACAGACTGTCTTGCACCAATTGACATTCCACTCACGGAACGGATCAAACCTACAATCTATTTCTAAATATATATATATAGGTAAAACTAGGTTTATTGGAAAATGCAGCAAAGTGAAAAAAGTACTCTCTAAAGTTTGTCCAAGCTTTCGGAATATTATATTTCCATCATCAGGAAACTACAACAATTTTCCATTAGGTCACATTAATGGAAAATTGTTGGGTGGTGGATATTTTTTCCTGAAATTTTTGACATACGTCATCGATTTGATGTATTCACCTACATTTTGCAAACAATATCGAGAATATTTCCTGAAATTAACCTCAACAAGAATTTTTCAAATGTAACCCCATGGCTTGTGACCCTTCATTGGAAAGCAGGTGGGAATAGGAATCCAGCATACTAGTAAAATGTTAGTATTCCATACTTTCAAAGGTTGCATAAAATTGAGATGTGATTTTGATATCCATTTTTTACAACCAATCGATCGCTCAAAATGTGTGTTGAACTATCAAGGGCAATTTTTTGCCATAGCTGCTATCTGCTTTTGTATTCCAGTATTTTTCAATAGAGCCATGCACAAAAATAAATTCAGTTTTTTTGTTGTATTCACAGTTCGAAACGAAGTGTTATTGCGAACTGGTATAGAATTGCCCTATATTACTGTCGTTAAAAGTCGAAATTTTGATGAAAATACGTTGAAAATATATCAAACTACGAAATTTTATTTTGATTCTATGCGACCCCCAAACGTACTGTATACCGGAATATGATCAGTACGCTGGACTCGTCTTTCAACCAGCTTTCCATTGAGAGGTCGCAAGCCATAGGGTTGCAATTGAACCCTGCTCGCCAAATGTAGGTAAATCCATTTGAACGTTGACGTGTCCCGCGAATTTTCAGAAAAATCATTCACTACCCCAGTAGCGAATTCATTCCAGTTATAGTCTCCACCCTGTGTATATATGTATGTATTTATATATAATTTTTATACGTTGTAATACTACTAATCAACTGACCTATCTTACCTACTCAAAAACCTCCTCATAATATTTCCATATCACACTCGTGGTGGATCTTATCATTCCAAAATGCGATTATTTCAATTTGAAAAAAACATTTCCCTCAATTTTTTTTCTGGTGGCGCCCATGACCCACCATCAATCTCTCCCTCACCATAAAGTGGATCTACTTCGTCGAATTTCCCTGGTAACCACATCTACTTCCCACTTCTAAACCCTTTGATTCATTTGATCCGCTTATTGCCGCTATCTAAGAGCTGTTACATTATTGGCAACCACAACAGTAGATCGTAAAGTGATATAACAGTCTGATGTTTGAGTAAGATACAGGGTGTGTTCCTGAGAGTACTCCACATCAACTTCACCATATAAAGGGTGTTTTTTTAAAGGATTACAACACTGCTTTATTTGATAACAACAACAGCTGATATTTGCTCTTTGTTCGGTTTGGATTGACATTTCATTATGGATTGACTCACACCTGAGCAACGCTCCCAAATCAACCCCGAATACAAATTTTGTCACGCCATATTGAATTTTCGATTTGAGAAATATATTACGACCGATTCTCATACCTACTGATTTCGTTCAAAAATTTTCATACGAATCGGTCGAGCCGTTTCGGAGGATTTTTGCCACTAACACCGTCACTGGGACAGGAGAATTAGACTATAGCTAACCCGACAAACGTTGTTTTGCCATAAATACTTTTTCTAGAAAATATTTTTTTAGTTGAGAATTCATCAACAATCTTTTATTATTTCATTTTCTTGTTTTTTTAGTTTGGCTATCCATAAAAGTGTGTTTCATTAGTTTTTAAAACTACTATTTATTGCAATAGCTGACCCGACACACGTTGTTTTGCTTATACATTCATGTCTAGAAAATATTTTCTCAGTTAAATATTCATTAACACACTTCTATCACTTTGTTTTCTACTCCTTTTTAGTTGGACTATTCATAAAATCGCGTACCTTTGGTTTTTTAAACTACTATTTATTTTCTTCTTCTTTTTAGTTTGACAATCTATCTCTCCAGTTTTTCAAACTATACTATCAATTTCCTATTTCTTCCCAGTTTTTCCTCGAGTTTGGCTGTCTATCAAAGCGTGTTTTATTATAGTTCATCAAACCAATATTTATAACGAAGCTAGTTAGCCATATTGGATCCGCCATCATGAATTACCCAATTTTGAAGAATAAGATCATAATCTCGGACCCCGAAAGCCCCCAGATAAAAATGTTGAATAGAATCGTATGGTAATTACAAAACTCATCCGCCATATTGGATCCGCCATGTTTAATTTCCTAATGCTGACGATGGAACCATGATTTCCGACCCCGAAAATCTCAGATATCAATCTTGAATAGGATCATTGTATCCTAATAACAAGACTTGTTTGCATTATCGATTCCGTCATTTTAATGTTCTCAATTCTGACAGAAGAATCGTAATCTCCAACCACGAAAACACCCATATACTGATTTTGAATAGAATTGGAACATAATCACAAAACCCGTCCGCCATATTGGATTCGCCATCTTGAATTTCCGAATTTTGATGCAAGAATCATAATTTGCAATCCCGAAATCCGCCAGATACAAATTTTGAAAGGAATCGCATCATAAAAACAAAACTCGCCTGTCATATTGGATCTACCATCTTGAATTTGATCATAATTAGAAACTGGTCTGTCATGTCAGATCCGCCGATTTGAATTATTCAATTTTGCTGAAGGAATCATAATCTGCGAACTCGAAAGCCCCCTGTTACCAATTTTGATAGAATCTGACCATAATTAAAAAAGCCGTCTGCCATATTTGATTTGCCATCTTGAATTTCAGAATTTTGACGAGAGAATCGAAATCTCCGACCCCCAAAACTCCCAGATGCCAATTTTGAATTGAATCTGACCATAATTAAAAAACTCGTCCACCATATTGGATCCGCCATCTTGAATTTCCAGAATTTGACGAAAGAATCATAATCTCCGACCTCGAAAACCCCCAGATACCAATTTTGAATGGAATCTGACCATAATTTCAAAACTCTTCCGCCATATTGGCTACGTCATTTTGAATTTTCGATTTAGAAAATAGATAACGAGCGATTCTCATACCTACCAAATACGCTCAAAAATTTTCATACGAATCGGTCGAGCCGTTTCGGAGGAGTTTGGTCACTAACACCGTGACTGGGACAGGAGAACTTTATAAATTAGATTTAGTCGTTCATTGAAATATCGAAATATGGTCAGTGGCGTACTTTCAGTAAATTACATCAGAAAAGTACACACCGTGTCCCAGCTAAAATGTCTCCCTCTGTAAAAAATCAACCACGCTATCGAATGACTTGAATTTTGGTCACCCATTATATTTGATGATGCTCACTCGAAATATGCCATTGAATAAATCGTTGGTATACAGGTCACACCGAAGTGCACCCAAACTTTCGTATTTGAATAGGGACACCCAGTGTATTATGCCATATTATTCAAGTAGAGTTCATTATTACAAATTCGACAATGCCTGGTTTGATAGGATTTTTTCAAACGACTACGCAGATATGCCAAGAAATAAAACGATTCAATAAAAAATTTATACGATTATATTTTATTAGTATAACACGATTTAAATCGAATGAAAAGAAAATAAATAAAACCTCAACTGCTCAATATGTCGTCCATTCTGCTGCAAACATTTCCTAGCTCTTTTGATAACGTTCATTGTGACCCTATGTATCACGTTGCGATCAATTTTTGCGAATAAATTAGTGATTTTCTCTTCCATTCCTTCCATATTCACAATTGGCGACTCATAAACTTGTTGTTTCAAGTAGCCCCACAGATAAAAATCAAGTGGGGATAGGTCTGGCGACCGAGCTGGCCAGTTGCTATCACCATCGAGACAAGTAGTGGTTATTAGATTTTCTCCAAACCGATGGCGAAGATAAATCTTTACGGGTCTGTAGTTATATGCAGAAGACCCATCGTGTTATATTAATGAAATCTAATCATATAAATGTCTTATTGCCTCGTTTTATTTTTTGCCATATCGTCGTAGTCGTTTGAAAAAATCCCATCGAATTCAGCATTGTTGAATTTGTAATAATGAACTCTACTTGAATATGGAATAATATACTGGGTGTCCCTATTGAAATAAGAAAGTTGGGGTGCACTTCGGTGTGACCCTGTATACCTATGATTCATTCAATAGCGTATTTCGAGTGAGCATCATCAAATATACTGGGTGACCAAATTTCAAGTCATTCGATTGCGCGGTTGATTTTTCACAAGGGGGGGCACGGTGTATACGTGATAACGGTATAACATCTTCTTCATGCATATTCACGATAGTAAATTGTCCTATGAATTTTAGAGCAGTGCCATTCAAGGATTTTGATATATTCATGAAAATCTGGAAATGCAATTATTCTTCAATGCCCTCTCACGGCACAACGGTGCATTTTCATATAGAGGTAAGTTTATTTCAATCGGCCAATTTAGGTCTCCAGTTCACCCTGTATAGAATGCATGGTACGTTTTTCTGTGACACCTTGTACATAGATAGTAAGGACAAATCAGACGATTTGCCTCAAAATGTCACTGCGCTCGAAATTTCAGTATAGCTATACTGTAAGAAACCTCAGAAAAAATCTCTGTCGATAGTCGGTGACAACTTGTTTGAAATATTCTCGAAGAAAAATAATATGCATTGGAAAAATATAGAATTCCACTTATCTTTGATTGTTTTGTGGTTTCTGTTCCCTTGCGAAATAGGGCTCCACACGTTATACCTGATGCCATTCGAATAGTTCTTATTCATTTGTTAATTTTTCTTATTGTTTCAGGCGTTCATTGCAATAGTATAGTCCCCCCTTCGTGGATAGTGAAATTACCAAGGAAAGGAAGTTTCAAATCGAGTTTACGAAAAGCACCGACGAAAGGACCGAACTCAAAGAAAAATAAACATAAGGTTAGTGTTGAAGATCAAGAGGAGTCAAAAGTCATAATATATTTCCATCCATCATCTTTGACTCGATAGTATATTACGTGAAAAGTGTTGTAAGAAACAAATTACGCACGAATGGAAAAATTACGCATAGCGTTTACTGCGTAACTCCATGAGTGCGTAAATGCTTTACAACATTCATTACATACTATACTTTACCCACGGCCATATACAGCTTGCCAAGAAAGTTTGGACATATGACTGATGAGGGTACTTAATTTCTTTCAAATATTGTATCAACAACTGTCAAGTGATGATTATGATTTGACACTATTTTGAATGTCATAATGACGTTGATTATCTCACAAGTGCTTTTTTGAATCTATCACCGCACTAGTACGGTGATTAGATTAGATTAGAAGGATATACTAGTGGTCATCAAGAATGAACAACATTGGTACGGTTAATAATTTGGGTCGGGATGCATAACTGATTTGTTTCCGATATCGGCAGATTTGGCATTTCATACCCATGCTGAAGATATGAATACACCATATTATAGTTGAGTATTTTTGTTTTGATCAGGAAAGCCTTCAAGAATCACCTACTTGCTTGATCTGTAATTCATCCTTTATTCCTAGGAATGATAACTTGTTTTTGAATCACGGCTAGCAATTGTTTTTTGGCTCACACAACGATATTGTCAACCTCTATTTGATTACTTAGTCAAACACAGTGGACTATAGAGATGAATGAATACTCACTAATATTATTGTTGATATGCTCACTTACCTATAACATTTTCCACATCTTGCGGTATTTGATTTTAGTGCTCACACTTGATCCACACACAAATAGGTCACACTGTGGTTGTATTTATATTGACACTACAATTCGAACATCTTCGAAAATTGAATGAACCTGATATGTTAATGCAGGTAGCAGATTTTTACCACAAGGATCATTTGTTGCATTGCATACATGGCACGGCATTGGTGGCATTTCACATATTCGTTTTTTAGTTCATTGTTTCGGTTGCAGAAAAAATTGCATGTTTCATTCGAATGAAAAGTGACTTTGTTTGACTCGCAAATGCAATATTAACTTATCAAACAAAGTGTCATTTTCGATCCTAATGAAACAATCTACTATTTTGCTTAGTGTTTCTGATGAAATAATGCAACTATAGGGTATCCAATGCTGGACTGATAACGGTTTTTTTGTGTTTTTTTGAAAAAAATTTAAACAAAATATTTCGGAGCTGGAGTTTTCTTCACGTCATTGAATATCTGTACCTCCGTTATCTCAAATATTTAATTTGAGCAATTTTTTGCCAAACAACTTATTTTGATGAGATATACGTTCCTCAATGATTATGCTAATATTCAAGGGGCTGATTCTCCGACCCATTTCGAAAATAAAACTTCATATGAATGTATGTCGTAAACTTTTGAGATACAGAGTGTCAATGTTGAAAATATGCATAGATTTTTTTTGCTCACCCTGTAGAGCATTTCGTGATGGCAAAATCCAGTCTGCTATGTGACTGAATCGGTTAAGAATTTCAAAATGTTACACACTGTGGTTATCCAGTAAAAGATGTCCTGAATGGAGTACTCAAACATCAAAATTTGAAGTCTGGTCTCGTTTTTCCGTTTCTTCTCGAAAACGAAGCGTTCTATCGAATATCAACACGAGGATCTTTTTTGTACAAAATAAGATAGCTTTTCATAACATTGTATGTGAAAATGTTCCATCTTTGCTCACTGTTAAGTAAAATATAAACAATAATATGCCCGTAACGGTGCCACTAGTAGAAAAAATAAGAATGTTCGTACATCAGAAAATGCACCTTGATGCATAAAACGAGTGTATCAAATTTCATGAAGATGAATACAATATTGTTTCAGTTAATATCAAAAAACTGAATATTTTTCAAAACTTCATCACCCTGTATCTCAAAAGTCAAGACTTTTAGGACATACGTTCATATGAAATTTTCTTTTTGAAATAAATCAAAGAATCACCCCCTCGAATATTAGTATGTCTTTGAGGAACACCCTGTATATATCCTGTTAAAAAAACCTCACTTTCAGATTCACCTTGATGAAATGTAGTTCATTGCAATCTAGTCATTACTTTTGACTCAGGAAACAAACACTAGTGCATAAAAGTTCACATGCATCTCGTGAGTAAAATGCGTCTATAAATATAGCTTTCAGCGTGTAATCGCACTCGGCTGATTCCTACTTTACGCACTTGATCGTTACCACCGATACAACAAGGACAGCAGACTCTGACGTAAACAGCTCGTGACGCCACGAAGAGAGGCCAGTGTTTTATTTTATCGCTTGTCGACTAACGCGTCAGTTCGTGTTAATTCATCGGTGATTCACGTATGTTCTTGAAACGGTCCCGAATTCTTTTGTTGTTTATTCATCAAAATAATTGGCGGAAAAATTACTGTTTTGTGAAATATTTTGTGTTGTGATCGGCGAAATAACAATGCCTTTCAATTGTTGTGGTCCCTTTTGTTGGGGGAATTATGTGGGTGGTTCAAAAGTTCATGCTTTTAGTTTCCCGTTGGACGAGGAGCTATCGAAAATGTGGGTATATGCAATTCACCGCGAGGATTTTACTCCATCTAAGTTCAGTAGTAAACAGGGCTTAATTTATAATGATGAATTGATAATAGAAGACAATCACTCTCTCATAGAAAGTATAAGTAGAAGAAAAATAGAAAAGCTTTGATTGTGCAGTTAGTTTTGTATTCCTATATTATAGTCAACAAAATCATCACTGAATTCGAGGAAATTTTCTTGAACAAACAGTCTACTTAAAAAGGTAAAACTGCATTTATCATGATATTTTTCATGAAGATATTCGACTAAAAAGTTCCAAATTTCACCTTCTTTTTCACCTGTCTTCTGGATGGCATTTAGAACAAATTTCCCTTCTTTTTTCATCATATTGGACAATTTATATATATAATTCAACTATAAATATGATTTTCTTGAGATTAATCCATATTTACTGAAAAGAAGGAAGAATATCATTCAAAATAATGGCGTGCGTAATGTCATTCGAGCAATCTATTGACATTTGACATCTCGTATTTTGATTGACTATTGAATAAATGGTCGTCATCTGGAATGCTTGTTCACTAAATATGAAAAACTCGCCATAAAAATCATATCTCCTGTTGAATTTTCTATATAAAAATGTGCCATCGAAGTACATCATGAGTATATAAAGTGTCCAATGACAAAATAAGAGCAAGTAGCTCCAAATGCTCCCAACACAAGGGGAGAAAGTAGGCGAAATTTCGATCTTTTTCTTGAAATATCTCGATAAATAGTGGTTTGTTCACATTTTCAATATAAAATTCGGTTTATCAGACAAAAATACAGGAGTACCGAACAAAATTTTCAAAAAAAAAAACCATTGCATGATAAATGTAGTTTTACCCTTGAAAATTACGGTTTCAAGTGTAACGATCCACTTGGGTGAAAAATCCAACAACAGAAAATTGAAAACACTCACTGGTTATTTTTTCAGGTAATAGGAATTCTCCAAGATAAATATAGGTAATTGTAACAAACGGCATGTCAATCAAAATAAAATACATTTTCCACAATTTTCTTTCGATCAATCTCACGATAAGTTTATGTTTTGCGGCCCTGTATAAGTAGGTGTGAAGTTTACCTTCACCACAATTTTTGCCAATATATTCAATTCGAATGGGTGGCTGTAGGTGGATATTTGTGTTTTATCCTAGTTTTTGCTTTAAAACTTTCCATAATAAAATCGAATGGGGTGCGAAGAAGGGCTCAGTTGACGACTGGCACCGTTTTTTAACCAGAAGCCCTTCAAAAAACAGTAAACTCGGCTCAATGAGGATCTAGAACTAAAATCGAAATACGCGGTCGCCTTATAGCGCTATAAGCGCTAGTCGTTTCGAGCCGCTGGTTAGGCCTCACTAAGTGACGTCACCCACGGAGCATGCAGGCCTTGTTGTATCGGTGAAAACGACTTGATACGTAAATAACTATCATGGACCTAGACGTGTTAATAGCCCTGGATGTCGGTTGGGTTGTGACTTCCACGCTATGGTCCATAATAGTATATTGTTTAACGAACACGGAATGATAGTGATTTCCTATGAGAAAGAAGTTTGCTAAATGAGCCATAGGCAAATGCGAAACAGAAGCAATTTTGTGTCATTGCCGTAGAAAAAGCATATTTTACGCCCTCGGTACAAAAATAACTGTCATAGCGCCCGGTCATCCACTTCATCGCCCACAGCTAGCTATCATCAAAACTGGTAATGTGAATTTTTATTATTTCCACAATCGACTGCTATTAGAGTAGAGTGTTGGGATTCAATTAACATTGTAGAATGATTTAATTCACATTATAATTCATCCGCCTGATGAATATTATCATTCAACCATACGACACAATATAATTTAACACAATCTAAATAATAGATATTGGTGTTCGAAAGTAGGTCACTACTAGTGTTTTTAATGCAATCGATATCTGCTCAACCAACATTTCATTATATCATTATTTTGATGAAATTATAATTATATTATCAAAGAATTAAATTACTCATAGCTTCGATATATTTCAATTCATTAATTCCACTAATGGGTCTACCTACTTGAATAGGTGAATGGGCCATTCTCCTCAAAACGTCAATTTTGAGTATAATTTCTTCTCATTATAATGTTGCCTCAATTGAGCTCTTTTCTACCTTCAACGAAAGAGAGTAAAGTTCTCTCCTCTTTCATCTTTCTCTTCAATGCTACCAACCTGGCCACATTGAAATATAGATAGGTCCGATGAATCTCTCCTTGTCTAACCTCTAGTATGCGCCACTGAACTATTTTTGATGTTATTCGCGAAAGAAAATGACACGTCACTCCACCTGACGGTAACAGCTTGAACTCTGAGCGGTTTGTTTTGATGATGTGACCAATAAGCACAAACAAGAAATGAATGTGAACCAATGAAAACAA